TTCCAACACGATCAATGAAAAGCCTACCGACATACTTCGGAGTACAGTGTCTCCGCTGAGCGATTCGGTCTCCCACTGAGCATGTATGTGTTTCCACATATTTTGTTACCCAAAACGTGTTTGTACCATGTTTCACACTCGCTCTTATCTTCCATCCACAACCACTAACCCGACATGTTGACACAAGGAGAGTTTTCGTGACTTGTATATTCTGAAGGAGAACTTACGCCTCACTGCTGTCAACCGCAGCTCTGAAAGCAGTGCATCCTTGTTAACAAAACTCTTGTTGACATATATACCATTACCATTCGATCGTCCTCCTTCAATAGCATATGTATCTTTGAAATCTTCAAAAACCACATCACCATCTTCTTCCTCATCCTGATCTCTAACCTTTCCATAAACACTATAATCCTCACCATTCTCGTCCGCTTCAGCAACATTAGAGCAAATAGAGATTTCAGCATCCTCCTCCTTATCATCCTCCTCCTCATCATGATTTTCATCTTCAAAACATTCATCAGCTTCTTCCTTTTCTCTGAAACCGTTCCCACCTTGCTACGGCTTGATACACAAAGACATACTCTATGAGTTTTGAGTATCTCGAGCAAGTTATGAACTTGTCTATCACTTGTAACATGAATGGGAGGGGTGTAAGGAGCCATCATCATTTCTGCTGGTAATGAGTATCTAATCTCCACAGTGACTGTGCTCATGTCCAGGTTATAATCTTCTTGTGCCATTGCAACAAGTTCAGCATGTGTTGAATCTTCATTCAATAAAAACAATCTTGCTCCTTTGAGATCATCAACCAAAAAATCCCAACGGCAATCTTTCAACAACCATTCTCCATACACTGCATGTAACTGACGAATCATCTGCAAAAATTCAAAATAAAATACATTAGTAAACATAGAGAATTTCATGAAAGTTTACTAAACATCGTCTGGACGACATACCAGTAAGTCGCCCATTGAGGTCATTTTTGCAATTGAAATTTAACTGGGGCGACTTACTTCTAAGTCGCCCAGCTTTGTTTGTTAAAAAAAAAACGCCAAACAACTTATAATTAAGTCGTCTAGGTAAAATGGGCTACTTTTGCATTTGATCGAATTGTGTCAGATATTTGACTTTTTCTGGACGACTTCAAATTAAGTCGTCTATGGGAAAGTTAAAATATCAATATTTTATTTTATCCAGACGACTTACGGATAAGTCATCTCAGGTTAGTTTTGCAATTCAAAAATAAAACTTAAATTTTTAACTTCTCCAGACGACTTAATTAGAAGTCGTCTGATCAGACGACTTATGTTAAAGTCGTCCAGAATAAGCAAGGTTTGACCAGAAAACTCAAAAAATATTCTGGACGACTTTGATTATCCTGGACGACTTTAACCTAAGTCGTCTGACCGGTCGACTTTTAATTAAGTCGTCTGGAGAAGTTAAAAATTCAAGTTTTATTTTTGAATTGCAAAACTAACCTTAGACGACTTATCCGTAAGTCGTCTAGATTTAATAAAATATTGAAATTTTAACTTTCCTAGGGACGACTTAAAATTAAGTCGTCCAGAAAAAGTCAAATATCTGACACAATTCGGTCAAAAGCAAAAGTAGACCGTTTTATCTAGACGACTTAATTATAAGTCGTCTGGTGTTTTTTTTTTAGCAAACAAAGCTGGACGACTTAGAAGTAAGTCGTCCGTTTGACCAGAAGACTTATCCGTAAGTCTTCTACATCCAGAAGACTTACGGGTAAGTCTTCTACGCAAAGAGATCTGGAAAAAAAATCAATTTCAAACCTTAAACTAGGTGAGATGACTTCCTTTGCACACAGAGTCATCTCCAACCACCCAGAACATCGAACGAAAGTAACCCACCAACAATTGTATGCTTAAATGGCTCTATCAACCATAAAAAATTTGCTATCAAAAGCTTGGGTTTTTGTTATGAATATGGAGACAAAGTGAAGGAGATGTTGTTTTTAGTTCATAACAATTGAGAAAGAGAGTATGAGTATCGATTTTAAGTGCATTAAAAGCTTCAAACCTTGGTTGTACAAGGTTATTGGGTTGTACAAGGTTGTTGGAAGTATTCATGGCAATGGCAATATTGTAAATACTTGAAAATGATGAGGTTGAGAGAGTAAAAAGGCCATTTTCGAAAGTAAAAAAAAAAATTTTATGGCATTTTCGTAAATAAAATGAAGATGTGGGATAAATAGGACAAAAACAAGATGAGTTAAAAGAAGAAGTTAGTTTTGTGTTTGACCATGAGTTTTGAGTCAAATTTGCAAAAACCCCTATAAAGAAACATGAATATCAGGAATAAAAAGAGACAAAAGTGAAAACGGCATAATATTTTGACAGTGTCACGGAACTTTTGTTTGGTAACGTAGGTTTAATGAACTTTATAAATTTCAATGTCTTTAAGAAGATATCTAGAGTAATTTCCAAATTTTTGTAATAATTTAATAATAGAGAGAACTAGTGGGGACTATATAAATTTTTAGTTATATACACTGTAATTTTAGTTTCTTTTGTAAAGAATCTAATCGTTATATTTGATTATATGTACGTAGTTTTTTTTTGTTGCAAACATGATTTATGTACGTAGTTACTGTGGTGCTTTAATTAGTAACACTACGAAATCACGTAAGCGTAAGAGTAATTAAGCAAAACGTGTATAGAATAAGAATAAATAAATCATTAACCAATAAATAAAACCGCCTAATCACTATATGGCATACAAAATTATTATATCTTGTAAAGAATTATGAGATTTGGCAAAAGCCACATAACCGTAATTATTTATATCATTCTCGAGTTTTCAAATCAGAACTATATGTTGTGTATCTATGGATGCATAGGTAAGAATCAAGACATAATTCTTTCAAAGAACGTGCCTAAACTGAGATTGACAAGTACTAGTATTGTAACTAATTAAGCATTTATCTCTTAAGCCAAAACCCAAAGCAGATAGTTTGGTAACTTGTAAGTGATTAGTTTTTGTACGTCAACATGTATACATTTTGGTAATGGATTAGCGTGTGAATTATTGTTAAATGTCTATAGACTTCTCTTTTTTTTGTAGTGCAACTACAATGACACTAATGCTTCTAAAGATACTTTTTAAAATAAAAATTATTCAAGATATTATTGTTCACACAAACATTTCACTTTTTCTATCTCTCCCACACAAATCCCATTCTTCTCTTTTGCCCTAACCCTCTTTTTTTTTTTTTGGACAAATTGCCCTAACCCTCTATATATACGTGAAGTCCTCGAAATCCTATGTTCGTGCCATCAGCTTTTACATTAAGAGAAAACACTTTCAAATCTAAGTGAGATCTCTCTCCTTCTTAGTCCTAAAAACACTAACCAGTTTACTTAAAAACCAAAAGAAAACCATGCCTCTCTTCGACACTCACAACACATGGGCCTTTGTCTTTGGTTTGATGGGTATGATACTAACCACGCTCTTCATTTCGTATACAAATGCTTTTTCAACAAGTTCACGTAACTAATCATCAAGATTTAGTATCGATTTGTTAATACCATTTTTAAATATTCACATGAACTTTCCAGGAAATGTCATCTCCTTCGCCGTGTTCCTCTCTCCTGTGTAAGTTATATTCTTATATTACCTCAGCATGACAAAATATACTTGTTTTCACTTGCTACTACACATATCTACGTATATCCATATGCTCCGCTATAATAATAAGATTACATGAAATGGATGCAGGCCAACGTTCTATAGGGTTTGGAAGAAGAAGACAACGGAAGGGTTTCAGTCTCTTCCATACGTTGTGGCGCTCTTCAGTGCGACACTTTGGCTTTATTACGCGACACAGAAGAAAGATGTCTTCCTCCTCGTCACCATCAATTCCTTTGGATGCTTCATAGAAACTATCTACATCTCTATCTTCCTTGTCTTCGCTCCCAAGAAAGCCAGGGTACTTAAGCACCTTGAATTCATATATGAGAATATGTTTACAAAATTAAATTTTATTAGCTAACTAATATATTGTTTAATAAATGGATTCAGATGCTGACAGTGAAGTTGCTACTTCTTATGAACTTTGGAGGATTCTGCCTGATTCTTCTTCTATGTCAATTCTTGGCAAAAGGAACCACACGTGCCAAGATCATCGGAGGAATATGTGTCGGATTCTCTGTTTGTGTTTTCGCTGCTCCTCTAAGCATAATCGTAAGCACTTCGAAAAAGTTAATTAAGTATATATATAAAAAAAAGTGACTAATTAATATTTAGTTAATTTCAATAATTAACATACTTTATGATTTAAAATACAGAGGACGGTAATAAAGACAAGGAGTGTGGAGTATATGCCATTTAGCTTATCCTTAACCCTTACAATCAGTGCTGTCGTATGGCTCCTTTATGGTCTTGCTCTCAAGGACATCTATGTTGCTGTAAGCCATTCTTCTCTTTCTGTTTATGGATTTATATATTAGTTTGATCACATATACATGTTTGCATAGATCCATGTATTTACACACGTAGAAACATACATACTAAATTTACATATTTACTGACCACCGTAATCTTTATAGCAGATCACATATACTGAAATTGGAAAGGTCAATAAATTTAAATCTTTTAGTCTTATATTAAAAAGTGAATATATATGTTTTAACATGGTTATCATGAGTTGACGTATCGTAATCATAATGGTATATTACATGAAAGTGGATGCTTCTGTTTCTAATGAACCTGAGACTTGAGGTTCTAATCATAGATTCATCGATAAAAAGAGATACGGATTGGCAAAAGATAACTAATTAAAGAAAGGAAAACCCTTTTGTTTGGTATTGTCCTTTACGATTAAAACTATAAAACTTATTATAAGGAGACTCGCTTTATTTCCAAAGAAACACTGAAGAATTTAGCTTTTGCTTTTTTTTTTTTTTTTTTTTTTTATATATATTATATATATTATTAGAAGTCTTATATCTTTATTGTTACATAGAAATTATATTTTGTACGTAACTCCTAGGAATATCGGTGCGCACAAAGAAGCCATAAACTTTAAACTTTACTTTTGTCATAAACTTGTTTTTACGTACTTTATTCATAAGTTATAAAGTGGAAAAGTGAGTGTATTAATTAATATCATGTTATTGCCACTAAACAATTTTTTTTTTTTCTTTTGCAGTTCCCTAACGTGATTGGTTTTGCCCTCGGTGCGCTTCAAATGATACTCTACGTGGTGTACAAATACTGTAAAACGCCGCCGCATTTGGGAGAGAAAGAAGTAGAAGCTGCTAAGTTACCGGAGGTGACACTTGATATGCTGAAGCTAGGCACAGTGTCATCCCCTGAGCCAATCGCAGCCGTTCGTCAAGCGAATAAGTGTACCTGCGGAAATGATCGGACAGGTGAGACTGAAGATGGACAAAAATAAACAATCTCGTTGATGACTATGAAGTGGTGACTTTATCCCAAACTTGATATTACCAACAACAACGAGTACCCTTTACGCTGTCCTATTTTTCTGAGTTTATCAAGTGTGCGAAAGTAGTTAATTAATTTCCCAGGATAATATATATGCATTTTCGAATGTTATATATATTTTCCTGGAATTAAGTTCTCCACTTTTAAAAATGTAATGTAACCTCCTATTGGGGATATGTATAATTCTTATTTTCTGATTTAACGAAAACTATCGAAATTATCTATTGGCTGTTGTTTCAAGTAATATCATCACATCATTACCTTGTGCGACAAGGTTTGAGGTATTCTTTTTTTAATATACTAGATGTTTTCCAACACCATGTGTAATAAAAAATTTAAAATATTTTTTAACACATAAATAGAAATTATATTCAAAATAAGTTTTTACTAATATTGTAAATTTTCTTTTTCTTATCAATATTTTAATATAAAATTTTAATTAATTAATCATTAAAATCAAGAAAAAAATAATTTTATTTATTTAAAATTATATTTTAAGAATAAGCATGTATATATCTAAAATTATAATCTTAGATAGATTTTTATATCTATTTATTTTAATTAATATTAAAAAATTTGTAAAAAAAATCATAATTATCAAAAATTAAAATTCAAGAATATGTATAAAATTTAAAATATATAAGAAACTAACATTTTACGATTAATTTTTTATAACTTTCTAAAAAAATTGTATACATTTTATGAAAATTTTAGTAATAAAATTGTATAGTTTAAAAATGTATTATTAAATGATATAATTTAAAAATGTATAATTTAATAAAATTCTATAATTTAAAAATGTATTATTAAAGAATTGTATTATTAAAGAAATTGTATAATTTAAAAATTATACTTCTTTAATAATACATTTTTAAATTATACATCTTGAATAATACATTTTTAAATTATACAATTCCTGCAAATTCCATGAATTGTGCCAGTCATTCGGTGATCTCTTCCGTAAGGCCTTTCGTCACTAGATCATGTTGAATCCATCCAAGGGACGAAAATAACTAAAAGGATCTTTGGAAGTCATTCGTAATCTATACTATTAAAAGTGAAGGCACACTTGAAAAATCGATTGATGAAAGTTGTCTACAATCTCATTAATGACATTTTGGTCATTTATTTTTAGGTCTTACATATATATATATATATATCGATTCTTACAAATCATATCACATATTAACTATATCCAATTTGTTCTCTCTCTTCCCATTAATTACTTTAACCATATTCCATATTATATTTCATACATTTATATTGTGCTATAGACTTTATATTACATGATTTCAATCTATAGATTTCTAACATTATAATTTTTTTTGTTGACATTTTTTGGTATATGCATCATATATAGATGATATGATGCTATTTTTTATATATTAATATTTTCATATAGTTGTACTACACCTTATATATCAAAGACTATACTTTATAAACCCATATTACTCTAACCATGATATGGTGTTATATTTGATATATTTATGATTTTCATATATTTGTACTACACCTTATATTTCAAAGACTATATGATATAAACTCGTATTACAATAGCATACACTTTGTAGCCAGTGTAGTTGATTGTAGCCCTTATATTACACGATAATATATAAATTTCCAACATTATATTTTTGGTTGACATTTTTTGATATATGTATCATATATCGACGGTATGATGCTATATTTCATATATTAATATTTTCATATAGTTGTACTACACCTTATATTTCAAAGACTATATTTTATAAAATCATATTACTCTAACCATGATATGTTGCTATATTTCATATATTAAGATTTTCATATAGTTGTACTACACCTTATATTTCAAAGACTATATGATATAAACTCATACTACACTTTACATTACAGATATTAAGATTTTGTTATAGTTGTAGACATTTGTTAATGTATTATATATAATATATTGTATATATCAACATTTTCATGAGTTTTGCATACTATATTAAACATTTTTTAATGTTTCACTACTTCTATCATTTATTTCATACCTCAAAACCATTTCAAATATAAGGAAAATAGAGAATCCATCTAAATGTCCTTCATTTCATATTTTTTCTCCATTTCAAGACATTTGAGAATGGAGAATCCATCCAAATGTCCTTCATTTCATGTTTTTTTTTTCATATGTCGATATATCATCATTCTCATGGTGATATTTAATGGGCGATATACGTTTTGTTAAGAAAATATTGCAAAAACTATTTTCTATAATTATCTTCCTACTAAAATAAATAAATTGCTTCATCTACAAGTTTATAGATTAACTACAATCAATATCGTGGTTAATTATTCTTTGGTTGGGCTCCCTAAATTTTGGTAACATACCGTAGTTGGATTACCATTAACTGTTAAACTTTAAACTTCCTATCTAATTCAAAATATCTTCAAGAAATATTCCTTATTCCTCGAAAGAGATATCTTTTTAAAATCGTCTAAATATTCTGCCCTACATTTGCGTAACTTAAATATATATCGTCCCTACCCATTATAAATATATCCTCTCTTAACCACTATATTCATCATTCCTTGAAAAACCTAAAACAAAATTGGCGAATAATTTGCAGTTGTCTTTCTTGAGCGATATAAAACCGAGGAAGACTGCTTGTCGCATCCAAGTCAAAATCCTTCATACATGGAGACATTTCATGGAAGACATAGGGGAGACCATGTAACTAATCTTTTGTGATGCAATTGCAAGTTTATCGTTTTATATAGATTTATGATTTAGATATCTTCATTTCGTAAAAGTTTAACCTAAATGATAATGTTTTTTTTTTATATATAGGAAACTAAGATCCATGCCTCGTGTAACAAGACATACATTCCTGAATTGACAAAACATATTCGTGTTGGAGTATGGAGAAACATTGATCGTTTCAGTGTGTCTGCCGCAGATGGAGCATACATATCAACTCAGCATAAGTATCGCATAGCTTTTAATGGCACCATCAAAATCACCGATTCTACACACCGTGATGACAACATGTTTCTTGATCTGGCTGATTTCAAAACCATAGAAATTATCACAAATACAAACTTCTTTATTGGTCAGTTTTCTCCCATTTTTATAAATTATCTCCATTATTGTCTATCTATATAACACGAGTATATTTTTATCTACATGTTATTGGAAAAGTTCAAGACTTGGGTGATCTGGAAACCATATGGTGTAATGGTGGAAACAAAGGAATAAGTTGGAGTTTAGTCTCGTGGACATTTCATAAGTTTTATATAGTTAATATAAAAGCTATAGACCTATAAGAATATTGATTTATAACTTGATATGCAGTTCTATTAGTGGTCAGAGATTAGCTTGATGCCTTTGGGGTAAATTTGCTGAGAATCTTCATACAGCTAGCTAAGAAACATAAGGCATAGTGATATGTCTTCTACGATTTGCTAAGATTGGGAAATATAGAGGTATTCCTTGAAAATGAAAACTTCTTTTTTGATTTTGTACTAAATAAATGACTATTGTTTATATAGTTGAAAATATGTTTCTACTAACTCAATGTTTTGATCATTCCTTCATTTTTCTGTTTTATGTCAGAAGAAATTACTCAAATGCTTATGATTTATTTTTGGTTATATGTGAGGTCCAAATCTCAAATGCTTATGATGAAAGTAGGGCTGGGAATCTGAGTCATCACCCGTGGGTCCTGCCCCGTTTAATCCGCTGCGGGGCGGGTGCGGATCGAACAATTTTTAAAAATTGATTGGCAGGTGCGGGTTTTGAGTATTTTATGCGAGGTGGGAGCGGGTTGGTGGATTTTGAATCGCGGGTACCCGCCAACCCGTAAATACTTTTTTTTATTTCTTTCTTGTTTGAAATTGGGTTTTTTTTGTTAGAAGTTTTTTTTTTTGTAAAAATAAATAAATATTTTTAAAAATACTGTGATCTTTTTTAAAAAAAATAAGAATTAAAATCTTTTAAAGTATAATTTTTATTATAAATATATATTTTTCCTATTTTTAATCAAAATGAAATTAAATAATTATCTTGTAAAAAAAATATAACCCATGGGTCCTGCGGGTTACCCGCAAAATTAAGCAAGGCGAGTGTGGATATAAATTTATACGTTCGCGGGTTATGCGGGTTGTAGTTTTTGACAAAAAAAAAATTAAAACCCGCGAGTTAGCGGGTCAGCGGGGCGGGTTTGACCCGCAACCCAGAGATGTTTGTTAACCATGAAATATCAGAGGCAAATGAATCTAAACAACAGTATTTATCTACTTCAATAAAAATGTTTTCACTTTATAATAGTATAGATAAAATTATAAAACTTATTTATAATTGCAGAGGTAATGATGATTCTCAAGCGTAAACCCTGGCTGAATCAAACGAGAACAAGCTTGAGTTGCAGATAAAGCGAGATAAATTGATGCATTATCCTCAAAAGAATCTTCAGAAGTTACTTGAAACATCCGAGGTATTGCATTTTCAAAAACTATACTAAAATGGAAATTGGCAACTCTTTGATGGTTTATTTATGGATTTATCATTTTTTTAGGAAAAACTATGTAGGGTTGTTGCGACAATTTATGCCATTCATACATATTGGGGATGGTACTATTTTGGCTGTTTAAGTTGTAACAACAAGAAGGTTCATCCACATTCCATAACCGTGGGAAATCCAACCAATTTTGGTTTCAGGCATTTTCAATAGTATTGATTTTTTAAATTTACTATGGGCTATGGACCCATCCAATTTTGGTTTCAATTTAATATGTGTTTTAATTCTTCATACTCTCACAACACTTAATTTTCTGATTCCCGGTTCAACCAAAAACTGACTCGGTTATGCAAGACTCAATGAAAAGACCCTACTAAAAGGTTAAATATACATCAATTTCATATATAAAACTATCATCTAATAGAAATCGAATCAAAATCCGCGGTTCTCAAGCGCGGATCAAAATCTA